AATTTTAATTATCGAATAATATAATGTTAAAATCATTCAGTAAATATATCTTTCAAGTTTGAAGAATAGAAGAAGCTTTCAAAGGTAATTTTTTCTTTTAAGTTTGTTTTAATTTATAGTTTGAAGTACTCAGACAATATCTGAGTAAATCCTTTGTCTGAATCGAACATTTGGCTTTTGTATACATAAATTACATGGAAGCTCTATCTCTTTCTTCTCTTTTAATTAAAATACGATGATTTGAGATTGGTTCCGATTCCGAGTTCAGTCGGAAAACTCAACAATAAGTGCATTGGGCTGGAAAAGTACCCGTTATGATGAATTGTTTAAGGGGAAAAAGAGGCCACATGATGCACAATAAGTTGTGGATTCCAGACAGGCTTGAGAGTCGGGTGAAACTTTTCCATGCATCTCGATTATTGATATTTTAATTAAGGATGGATAGAGATTTTGATCCTGTAGCTGGCTGATATGGCATAGCTCTTGGATGAATGGTATCAGCCAGGGTGGTGGTTTGGATTCCGGCCTGGTTTCCTTGCTCATCTGTTTGCCTGGTTTTACCGGCTAAGATAAGCACTGGCCAGGCCCCAGCCCCACGCCAATTTATAATTGTTTACATTGATGATATCTTAGTATTCTCTGATAATATTGAACAACATTTTAAACATCTTAATATATTAAAAGATGTTATTTTACGGAATGGCTTAGTAATATCTAAACCAAAGATGCTTTTGTTTCAACATAATATAAGATTTCTTGGTCATCAAATAAGTCAAGGGAAAATAACCCCTATTCAACGATCAATTGAATTTTCTTCTAAATTTCCTGATCTTATCACTGAGAAAATTCAACTCCAGAGATTTCTAGGAAGTTTAAATTATATTTCACCATACTATAAGAATTTACAAAAAGATTTAGCAATTTTATATGATTTGCTTAAAAAATCAATTAAATTTGATTGGACAGAAAAGCATACTCAATTAGTTAAGCAAATAAAGGAAAAAGTAAAAACTTTACCATGTTTAACATTAGCGAATCCAAATTGGAAAAAGATAATAGAAACAGATGCTAGTAGCATAGGATTCGGTGGAATCTTGAAACAGATTAACCTTCATGATAATAATGAATATCTTATTAGATATCATTCTGGTAAATGGACAGAACCTCAAAAGAAATATGCAACGGTTGCACAAGAATTTCTTGTTATTGTAAAATGTGTATTAAAATTCCAAGATGATTTATTTAATCAGTCGTTTGTCATTCATACTGATGCTCTTGCTGTTAAACACATGATTTATAAAGATTATAAGCATGATTCTTCAAAGCAAATATATGCTCGATGGCAGGCTAATTTAGCCCCTTTTGATTTTGAAATTTTATATAAAAAAGGTAGTGATAATTCTTTACCTGATTTTTTATCACGTGAATATTTGCAGGATGGAGTGGCCACAAATTGATTATCTTAAACCACTATCCGTAATACATATTGCTTATAATAAGATTGTTGCTGAATATAAGCATTGTAGAACGGAATATATTTTTGCAAAGCATAGATTAAATCACTTTTTACGAGTTCGTAATACGATTCTTGATTGTGCTGATGAATTTACTTCACCACAACAGATAATATCTGTTTCAAAAGAACTTGAATTTGTCTATAACATGATAGAAGACTTCACTGAAAGATTAGCTGAAAGTGAAGAAAGGTTAAATTATTGTAAAGCAAAATTATCATTAATAATTCTCTAATTTTACAGGATTATGTATCCGCCCGATAGAGGACGCGGCCCTCATAGAGGTCGTGGAGGAAGAACAATAAACCCTGTAACACAACCTGGGAATAAAAAGCTAATAGCGGCTGATTTTTCAAAATCTCAGGAGGAATCCTCCTCATCAAAAATGGTCCAAATAATGGATTTTATTCAGAATGATTCTGCATTATATAAGCAGATTATGGATCATATCCAAGAGCAACAAGGAGATACCTTTGCTACTAAAGTAAGTGAAACTGACCAGGATGATATCCGGTCATATGAAAAAGGATCCACAAAGGAGGTAATATTCCTTCTTGAAAACGCTGATATTCAGTGGAAAAATGACCCATGGGTAATATTCCGAAGATATCTAGCAGAAAGGGTAATGATACCGGGTGAGTCATACAAACCCAGAAATTATTATGAGAATATTCTCAAACAAACCTGTGAAATAACACATTTTCAGTCTAATCAGACTACAACTGAAGTTTATAACTTCTCCAAAATTATTATCAAAAAGATTTTATCTTCTGAGGAATGGGGAATTTCAACCCTTTCTGAAAGAGAAGTACGTAATACTTCTACTTCTCCTCCTTTGAAATTTACTTACTGGGATTATATTCAAAGTTTTTACAAAACCTTTTATTATGAAAACCCCAGAAAAAAGCATACTTGGTTTATTAAGATATGTTCCCATGTATATTCTTCTCCCATACCCAATTGGTTTATCCAGTGGTGGGCATTATATGGCCCAACAACAAAAATTTTTTGCCAGATAATTTTTCAAAATTATATTATCAATGGTTAAAATCTTCCCATATCATTGATAAACTTCAACACAGTCATATCTGTGCTCCAGGAAAAATCACTCTGTTATACTTCTTTCTTGAATTTTCGATTCCCTGGATTTATAAATGGGTTCCTGAAGTTGGATTCAATGAATTTCAAATTCCATGTCTTTATAAGACATATTATACCAAATTTTGGGATAAATTAACAAAAATGAATCACAATACCAAAAGAATGGAAGGACAGGACTTGCTGGACGAAAGAGCCCAAAAAATCAAAGAATATACTCAGGACAAAGGACAGCTCAAAGCAAAACCCAATGAAGAAAGTCCATTCAAACACATTACAAAACGAATTCAGCTTTAGCAAGGAACAATTAATAAGGAAGAGATAATATCTGCCTATATGAAAGAAGTTAAAGCAGATCTTATGAGAAATTTAAAAAATCTCGATAACGATAATATTTCAGAAAAATCAGATGTTTCGATGAAGAGTATTACTTCCAATGAAGAAAATTCTTTTGCAATATTGGCCGGAGAATCTCAGTCACCAGAAAATGATGACGATCACGATGAATTCATCAAAAATCTGTTACAGCAGATCCAAGAAACAGCTCAATCAGCCAAAGGAAAAGAAAAGGAATGAAGTGACAAAAGTAGGAATCTATTTTTGAAATTTAATGCAAGTGGACCCCACCATCAGTCAAAGCTGAAGAAAAACATGTCAAATAATGACAAGAATTAATAATTTTTTGTAAAATAGTACTTAGGAACTTTGTCTATAAATAGAATGTAGAAGTTCATTTGGAGGGTGTCATTCTCTGCAACGATTCTCTCCTTTCTTCTTCTTCTCCAAAAACTCTCTCTTTCCCTTGTAAACAAAATTATTCGGTAAATATATCTTTCAAGTTTGAAGAATAGAAGAAGCTTTCAAAGGTAATTTTTTCTTTTAAGTTTGTTTTAATTTATAGTTTGAAGTACTCAGACAATGTCTGAGTAAATCCTTTGTCTGAATCAAACATTTGGCTTTTGTTTACATAAATTATACATGGAAGCTCTATCTCTTTCTTCTCTTTTAATTAAAATACGATGATTTGAGATTGGTTCCGATTCCAAGTTCAGTCGGAAAACTCAACAATAAGTGCATTGGGCTGGAAAAGTACCCGTTATGATGAATTGTTTAAGGGGAAAAAGAGGCCACATGATGCACAATAAGTTGTGGATTCCAGACAGGCTTGAGAGTCGGGTGAAACGTGGGGCTGGGGCCTGGCCAGTGCTTATCTTAGCCGGTAAAACCAGGTAAACAGATGAGCAAGGAAACCAGGCCGGAATCCAAACCACCACCCTGGCTGATACCATTCATCCAAGAGCTATGCCATGTCAGCCAGCTACAGGATCAAAATCTCTATCCATCCTTAATTAAAATATCAATAATCGAGATGCATGGAAAAGTTTCACCCGACTCTCAAGCCTGTCTGGAATCCACAACTTATTGTGCATCATGTGGCCTCTTTTTCCCCTTAAACAATTCATCATAACGGGGTACTTTTCCAGCCCAATGCACTTATTGTTGAGTTTTCCGACTGAACTCGGAATCGGAACCAATCTCAAATCATCGTATTTTAATTAAAAGAGAAGAAAGAGATAGAGCTTCCATGTATAATTTATGTAAACAAAAGCCAAATGTTTGATTCAGACAAAGGATTTACTCAGACATTCTTCGTCGACTTGTATAACATGACTAACAATTAAATACAATCCAAAAATCTACTAAAAATTTTAATTATCGAATAATATAATGTTTATGTTGATTTTAGATTATTTTTTATTTCGAAATGTTTAAATGTCAGGACATTATTTGCGTCAATTTCGATTAAAAAAATTTGATGAAATATTTTAACAATAAAATTTATTGCTTCACTCTTCCATGAATGATGAGAATTGAACTGCACCGAATTTGAAATCATCCACTAAAAATTTTTATTTCTTTGTTGGCTTTATAAATAACAACTAGATGCAAAAAAAAATGTACTAAAAAATTTTACCATTGAATAATTTAAGATATAATGCCGATCTCAGATTTCTTTTTTTTTTTTTTTTATTTATTGGTATCAATAAGAAATTTTTCTGATATCATTTGCGTCAACTTTTTCGTCTACATAAAAAAGTAGACGAATAAGTTAACGAACTTAAGAAAAATCAGAAATTTTTTCCAAAAATTTCTTTGTTCTGTAATTAATTTTTACTTCAATATTCCATGGATGACGTTGGAACTAAAATGGATCTAATTTGATATAAACGCACTACATTTTGTACTTTTCTATCGAGTTTTATGACACGACTAACAACTAGATGGCTCTTTTCAAAATAGAGATCACAAAAATGAAAAATTTGTGACACAGAGATTACATTCTTCTACATAATCTTTTTTTTTTTTTTTTTAATAAAACTCATCTCCAATAATCAAAACAAAACTGCACTTTAAAATACAAAAAAAAAAAAAAAAAGAAAAATCCGTTGCAAAGATCCATAGTCCTCAGCAAGGTGGAAAATCAGGTGGAGGAGGAAGCAACCGTTGAGATGGATTCTTGCCACCTTGCACAATCAAACCCATGGCTAAACCCCATGTAGTATGTTCTTCAAGATGGCAATGTATGAACCAAACCCCTGGATTATCTGCATTGATCCTGAGCGCCGCCCATCCACCCACCGGAACCGCCACCGTATTCCGCTCCGGCGGGTCCACCAGATTGTAGCCTAATGGATCTTTTTCAGCGTCATAATTCCCAAATCCCCTGCCCACGATGAAAAAATTATGCCCGTGAATGTGAATCGGATGGTTCTCTGGATTCAGGAAATTTGTGTCTTGTAGAACAATTTCCAGCTTTGTCCCAAATGGTACAACTATGAGCTTTGATCCAAATTCCGTGTTCATGTTCTCTTTGACTGGATCCACCCCAGTATAGTTAAAAGGATTCGGAGGCTTTTCAGGGAAACCGGAAAACAGATGACCCGATTTCAGGTTCTTGTAATGGCTTTCTAAAATCGACATGGACGGCCTAACGAAGGATTGGTTGTTCATTGAAGCCAAAAACCGCTTGTTTAGATACCCTTTGCAGTTTTCATTCACCGGGCAATCTTGAAGATTGAGACTTATAGTTGTGATTACTTTTTTATCAACTGTTTTGGGTACTTTACAGGGGTACTGAAAAGATGCAAGGCTTCTCAGATTGTCGGCGAAATCGGTGGCGAATTTAGTGTCTTCCATGGCAGGAAGATTTTTTGGTAAAGTATAAGGTGGGAATGGAGGCTGAATTGATGATGATGGTTCTGTTTTGGTGGTGGATTTGTAATGTAGGAAGCCGATTGTGGTGGAATTATCAAAGGGGAAAACTGAAGTTAGGTAAGGCCTTGCTGCCATTACAAACATTGATCCTGTGGAATCTGATGCAGTTTTTTGTTGTTGTTGTTGTTGTTGATTTGCAGTGAGTAACACATTTGTGGTTTGTCCTGGAGTGATCATTATGGCTTCTGTTGTAAAGGGTTTTGTGTAAGTTGCATCAATTTCTACTACAGTTAAAGTGTGGTTGGCTACGGCAAAGAAGAGTTCATCATTGAGTGCTGCATTGATGATCCTCAATAAGTATGTTTTCCCATACTCCACTGTTTGTATGAAAGTATCTGCACACAAAATGATTCATCATCAAGAAGAATAAAGTCAATTAATTGGTCAATCGGTCAAAATCGAGTCTTCAGTTTTGGTCATGTATGATACACCTGATCATGATGACATGAATTGTTCTAATTGTACTGCATTACTAATTTAAAACTTTTACGCTGAGAAAAAAAAACAAGGTCAAACGAACAAAAAGTCTCAATTCAAGGCAAAGTCTTCGTTAACCTTTTTTGTGATTACCTTTTAGAGAGCAAGAATATAAAGGTCCTGGCAAACCATTGATGGTGTATGCATCCGAAGAGTTAGGGCCATCCCCAGTCTGAATCATTTCATTTTCTATTGCTATAACATCTGAATTCCACCATTCACCTACATATATAATTCAAATGTCTCAAAAAAGTTATAATTAACTCTAATACTCTGTACATAAAATATATATATATATATAATTTCTCCGTCTCAAAATGATAATTACCAAAAATAATCGGAATCTCTTTCTGAATTGGAACGGGAAAAGGGTAGGGCATGCGAGGCAAGATTATGAAAGCTCCGTTAACAGTTGCACGTTGCCATGAAAGATGAGCATGCCACCAGAGAGTTCCTCTTTGATCGACCACGGTGAATTTGTAGGTGTAAGATTTACCGAATGAAACTGGACATTGAGTTATGTATGCTGGACCATCTGCCCATCCAGTTCTATATTGCCTTATTCCATGCCTTCACAAAGTTAGAAAACATGTAATAATTGAGTATTATTAGTACTTGAGAGTTGAAAGTATCATTGTTGTTCAAGAGAGCTCAAGAGAAGAGATCCACATAGTGTCGAATGAAAATTAAACTGACAAAATATGATTTCGAAGTATGTAACGGAATATGATAATTAATTTCCCTTCTCCAAAGACATTAAAAGAAATTGATAAAATCATATTTTGTACAACCCGGATGATTCAGGCATGTAAATAAATACAATAATGCATTATTAGGTCCAACTACCACGCATAATCATAAAATAAATTATCCCGCACGAATGGGGATAAAACTTGATTCGATCATATCATACATGGAATCTTCTGTCTTCATCAAACCCATCATTATTCGTTAATTTCTTTTTGGATCTTTCGACTCACTAAAAGTTATGGCTTAAGATTCCATTACAACTTCATTTTAAACTTATTTGCATTTTCCTTTGCTATCAAACCTTTAATACGTCATTTCTGTTGATGTCAATTCAACTATTTAAACGGTAAAAAGCAAGGTATAATTTTGTCTGGTATACCAGTTCCTCAATCATTCCCATCTGTTAAGAAAACTCTGTTCAAAAGATTTGGAAAGGGATCGAAGTATTTTCTCTTTTTTTTTTTAAGACTGTAAGATGGAAAAGAGTAAGTGTTAATTAAAAAGGCTTATGACATTATTTGAATTTGGCATGAAATACGTTTTTAAAAAGGCTTATGAAATACCATCCTAATATTCTATCCTTCCAGTTATTAATATAAAATATTTTAATTTCTCTTAAAAAAATTTTATTTTTTGTTTTTTCAATTGAAAATAAAACCTTAAAAATACATTTTTGTCTTCTTCCAATTATTACAAAGTGTTTTAAGGTTTCATTTTAAATTAAGAATATACGATAAACAAAACCTAAGATAAATCAAAATAGATTATTTAAGACTTGGAGAGCGAGTATCTCTAAGACCCTATTAGATTCCCATGACCATAGTGTTATCACCCCCCATGCAAATCTTTACAATTCTACCTCAATTCAATTGGTAATCAAACAGTGGAAAAATTAGTCAGACAAACCAAGTAGCTAGGCATAACAAAATAAACATGAGGAAGTAAATAAACCACACACACACACACACACCAAATGCGGATTACATACCAATGGATAGTGGTGTTCAGAGCAACATGGTTTGTGACCTTCACTTCAACATTATCCCCTTCATGAACAACAATCGTCGGCCCTGGATATTCTCCGTTAACAGTAAGTATCGACTTGGTGTGACACAAACGTGTAACTTTTTTCCACCCCACCTGAAATTATGCATAACCCGAATAAGTAACACTTCTCACGTAACGATGTTAATTCGTCTAGAGGAGGTGAGAATTTAACTTACATTGAATTTAAAACGTCTAGTGGTCGATGAAACTGAACAAGGTAGTAAAATGCTTAGGACAAGAAGAAGCATGAAATAGCCATGGTTTCCCATTGATTATATAGGGATTCTGATCTTTGTGACTAGCTAGCTAGGAAAACACAAGCACAACATATATCTCTTATATATAGAGAGAGGCGGAGATATCTTTTCTAAAGTCAGATGTGTGTGTGTGTGTGTGTGTGTGTGTGTGTGTGTTTGTTTTTTTATTTTTTATTTTTTTTTTTTGGTCCATAAGGTTGACTGAAAATTGTCGTAAAGGAGGCAAATTGAGAGGGAATATGAAATGTGAATATACTGATTGCCTTGAAGGGTTTGCATGATTCAGTTAAACAAAGTAACACCCAAGAATTGGGTGAAGTTGGGACACCAAACTTAGGCATGCAGACCATATCAATAATTAAATGTTCCAATGAAAAAAGTTTTTTGAAAGGTCTTTGCAAAAAAGCAAACCCACTATATATAATAATTCTATGTTGGCAAATTTGTCACCTTTAATTGACTCGTTAATTTGTCAGTTGATGCACCCAGTTGGAGCAGTTGTAGAGGGTGACTAGGGTCTTTTGGCATCTAAATATTTGGGGTAACATCACACATACTTATACAGATTCAATTACGTAGATCCCAAAACACTTCGATGATTAGGTAAATCTCTTTAGAGAGTACTTTGAATTGGTACTATCTCGGTTTTCATGTGTTTAATCTGCGTGATACTTATTCTTTTCAAAAGAAAAAAAAAAGAAAAAGAAGCTAACTATCAGTCTATTAAACTACATTATATATAGCCAATTTGCGAGTAGTATATACACCGTTCGAATTGGAGCTAGCGTCTCTTTACCAACCAAAAGGTCGAATTACCAACTGTGTCCACTTTTTGTTTTTTCATATGTCCTGATTAGGAAAGCATTATTGATGCATCCAAAATGTTCTTATTAGCATTTATTAAATAATTTGATTGATCAGTGGTTCTTCATCAAAATGATGTAGTAGCCTGTTTTGAGATCGATCCTGGGATTAGATTCTGTAATTTGGTTTTTGAATACCTTTTCAACTTGGCGATCGCCGGAATCAATTAAAGGACTTCTCTGAAACAAGGCATTATGATATTCATTTTGGACGAAAAAGTATCATCAGTTTAATTAAAACTTTAAAACTTACAATTTCCGTCCTAAACCATTTCCCCCCGCCTTTCCGCCGATGAAGTCAATGGACTTAACTAGCAAATTTCTCTCTTCATGTAATTGAGGGGTCTAATTTCGAGTTCATTGATTGTTCGTAAAATTTTTTAGAAAAATGGAATTATGTAAAGAACTGATCTCTCTAAATGTCAAAAAAAAAAAAAAAAACGTGCAATATAAAAAATAATTTTACGTGTAATTTGAATCACCATGTCGAACTAATATTTTGTTTTGTTATGATATCGTACAAAACATCCCACCTAACATGATAAGAAAGAATAATATATAGCTAGGTACCATATACGCTAAATGATTGGAAAATCGTTTGTGTTTGGCAGCAGTAGGCGGAGGAATCGCATATTCACAATTCTTCTACATCTAAAAGAAAAGAGTGCATTTACCGACAGTCATGGTAAACTGTGTGAAGATTATGGTGCACTTGGCTCAACTGAAAGAGATTTCCATTCCCGGAAAGTTAACCACTGCTTATTTTATGGCATCTTTCCTCTTTCTGGAATATGTATATAGTGATCATAAACGATATAATTAAATTTGTCCTAGATTAACTCAATATGTATATTTTTTAGGCAAATAATTAAGCCTTACCGAAGCATATACTTTCCCTATACTTGATTACTTGAAGTAGGGTATAAAGATATCGCTTTTATCCAGTATCGTTAAATCAACATAGATTTCTGGAAGAAGAAAAGGGTAAAATTTGCATTTCAACCAATTAAAAATGTCAATATTCGTATCTGTCACACACAGAAAAAAGGGCCAATCTGAAATCGAAAGAATTAAGATGACGATTAATTAATATGCGTAGCTTAATTTTAGATAGAAAAACAACACATAGTCCAAGCTGGGAATGTTGAGAGAACTCTATAAAAAAAAATGTTTGTAATTAGTTGTCAACCTGTCGTCATAGATTACTGCGGTAAACTTGATATTTATGTTTTACTCAACATGAAGGCATACTCATTTGTCTTACCTTTTATTTCTTTCTGTATCTCCAAAAATGCTAAACTTATACTAGTAGTTTTCATGATTTACGAGTTTAAAGAAAAATGTCTAACAATTTCTTACCTTTATCCATTGGCACTGGAAAATGAGTGTCTTGGAATTTCGTACCTCTATTTGTTCCCCGTATCATAAACAAAAACAAAAGAAAAGACAACATGCTAAAACTTACAAGAGGCCTAACTATTTATATATAAACTCCAGTCAAGGAAAAATCTCTGATTTAGATGGAGATTTGTGCACTTTATTTTGGTATAAGTCAAATTTCGGTTCCAGCTCAGTTTGATAACTATTAGAAAAGATAAACTGACCATTGGAAACAAAATAAATAAATAAATAAATAAAACCATTAATTAATTGAGTTAAAATATCCAGGCACGACCTCTGTGTCACTTTTCTATTACACTGTATTACTTAATTCAAGAACTTTGTATAAGTGTAATTGTTTGTGTAGATATTTCCACTATTCATTATCACTTTCAAAGCTATATGCTTTAGAACTAAGGATTCACTTTTCTTTAGGTTATGACCTATTTATTTTAATCTTTATAGTTAAAAAAATCAATAAAAAAGGCCAAATTTCGTTAAAAATATATCATTGATACAAGAAATAGAATAGTAGTACAAAAATTATCTGCAATAAAAGTACGTCTTTATGGTATATGTATTAACACAAAATATATCATTAATAAAAAATTATTAGCGTGTAATTCAGAAAGTTTTATATGAAAGTGTCACAGAAAGTACAGTCTCGGTACAACTTTGTATTATTTTCTTTTCTTTCCCATAAATAACGTAGTTTAACAAATGGAGGATGTCAAGAGCCACCTTCTTTCGTGGGTCCTTTGGAAATATTGGAAGTTATTTTTATTGTAGAAGATTCCTAAAAAGAAGATTAGAAAAGAAAAAAGATTATTGAGGAACTATGAACAAATGAAACCTATATAGAAGATTCTTCCTAATCATTGCGCGTATTGTTAACTCTTCAGGCCAGCAACGTCTTTATTTGGAGATATAGATGTTATAATGGTGAACAAAGAGCTTTGGTAAATCAATCAATGAATCAAATATTAATTTCCTAAAAAGATACAGTAAGGGACGAAAATGTTATATTGACCAACTATTAAAAAGTTAATAAGAAATTTACACCCTTGGTCAGAATTATGAAAGGCTTACACAATTACACTCTTAATGGAAGTATAGTACAGAATATTTACAACTTTTTACAAGAATTGAAAACCCCGTGAAAAATATCTTGAGGTATAAGTATTTTAATTTATTTATACTCCGCGATTGGATTATAATCACGTGTACTTCTCAAATTTTGGACTATATTTTTTTTCCTTGTAAATTGGACAATAGGATTGTATAATGATTCTGTGACGAGCCAATGATCAGAATTGGATTGAAGGAGAAATAAGGGGAGTGTACTGTCACCTTCCTCTCCCCCCCCCCCTTCCCTCTCCCTCAAACCCTAAAAAAAAAAAATCAATTTTCCCATCTTTCCGCCATGGAAGGATGGAGAAATAATTCTATAAATATTCTTCAACCTTTTTATTGTGTTTTAATTTAATTTCAATAAACGGCTTATAGATTATTATCTACAGTATGACGACAACATCTTTATCGATGTTTGCAGGTATGGCGGCAGCATCTTTGTCGATGTTTGCTAGTATGGCGGCGGTTTCGTCGGTGATGTATGTAGATACGGCGGCAACAGCTTCATTGAAGGTGTTACAGGCATGGTTCAAGAAGATTCAGTCATAATAGATCTAATTATTATTAGGTTTACGATTTGAGGGTTTCAATTGAAGTTTAGTGTTGTATCCTTGACCGGATTAAAAATCTGGCCTGTGGTACAACCATTATTTTATGGGGTAGATCATTTTATGGGGTAGATCAGGATAGATTTATCCATGTAGCGAAACACAACAATGGCATTGTGATTGTTTGTAAGTTGTGTTTGTAAGTTGTGTTTTTATGGTTGTATTTTGCTTTTATCAATTGCTGTTAGACAATTTCTAGAAAATTAATGAATTTTTCTTTATTTCTCAAAAAAAAAAAAAAAAAGAGAAATAAGGGGAGTAATTGAACACAATCATAGAGCTAGAAGAAGGTTAGGCTTTCAGGATTGAGAAGCAAAGAAATTGGGGAAGAATTAATCTGGGATTCATTCAATATTCAAAGATGAACGCTAACATTCTCCCAGCCAAATTTAATCCAAGGGTGCGACAGATTCATGTCACATTGGCCCAAACCACAATCGCTGGACTGGTATTATCATTTTTTACTAGACTTTGAAAAGAAATGTAAAAAAGGGCGGCAAGATTCCAGAAATTAAAGCAAACCCAAACCGGCCCAAAGGCCAAAATACTATATGGATATAACTGCAAAGTGGTCTATCCGCTTTCCTCGCGCAAAATCTCTTTCTCTCATCTCCCAGGGCTAGGGTTTCAGGTTTTCCAAGCCGGCAGAAGAATGTCGACATCATCATCATCATCAAAGAAAATCGTGTTGAAGAGCTCGGACGGCGAGGCTTTCGAGGTGGAGGAAGAGGTGGCGCTGCAATCGAAGACGATCAAACACATGATCGAGGACGACTGCGCCGACAACGGAATCCCTCTCCCCAACTCACCGGCAAGATCCTCGCGAAGGTGATTGAGTTCTGCAAGCGCCACGTCGTGGTGGAGGATAACACGACGAAGTCGGATGAGGATCTGAAGAGTTTCGACGAGGACTTCGTCAAAGTCGATCAGGACACACTGTTCGATCTCATCTTGGCGGCGAATTATCTGAATATAAAGAGCCTGCTTGACCTCACTTGATGATGGGGAAGAAGCCGGAGGAGATCGGTGATATTTTCCACTTTGTGAACGATTACACCCCGAGGAAGAAGCCGAGGTTCGCCGGGAGAATGCCTGGGCGTTCGAGTGATTCTGAAGTTTTAATTTCCAATATTTCTACTTGTTTTAGCAGTAGTGGTAGTTATTAAGATTTACGTAGCTTTCAAACTATTTCGCAATTTAGATTCCTACCATATTTTCTAATCGATAATAGAATCTTGATCAGCTTCTATTTAGCCAGATTCTGTTTAGCCTCGGAGCTCTGGAAAGAATTATTTTGTGTTATTGAATCGGTAGTTAAATTGATAAATATACTGACCATATTTTTGGGACGGGGGGACTAACAAAAGGTGCGAAACCTCCATTCCAGTAGGGGTTTCTCTTTCAATACAATGAACAAGGCGGTCCAAATACTTCCGATTTGTAAACTTGTTATTACATGGCAAATTTAAGGTGGAAAATATCTAGAGCCACTGTAGCTATTCCAATTGCAAGATCAGAATTGGTGTAAATTGACCACCAAGCTGCAATAGTTGAATTCTACTTTTACATTTCACCAAATATTCTACATATGTTGATATATAGTTGAATACTACTTTTACATTTCACCAAATATTCTACATATGTTGATATTGAATAAGTAAAGGTAGGAATTTGATATTTGATTTTTTAAATTGGAGATTTACAAATTAGAAACGATGGAACTAAACTGGAGATTTACGAACTAGAAAGGTAACTGTAGATGGGTCGGATCTACACTGAAGATTTACAATCTAAACTGAAGATTTACAAACTAAAAACTAAACTAGGGATTTACAAACTAAACTAGAAAGGTAACTGTAAATGGGTCGGCTCTAAACTGAAGATTTACAAAATAGAAACCAAATTGGAGATTTACAAACTAGAAATGTAACTGTAGATGGGTCGGACCTAAACTGGAGATTTACAAACTAGAAATGTAACTGTAGATGGGTCGGACAAAAATTAGAGATTTACAAACTAGAAACGTAACTATATAAGGGCCGGACCTAAACTGGAAATTTACAAACCAGAAACATAACTAAAGATGGGCCTGACCTAAATTGGAGATTTACAAACTCGAAATGTAACTATGGATGGGTATGGCCCAAAATGGAGATTTACAAACTAGAAACGTAACTGTAGATGAGTTGGACCTAAACTGGAGATTTACAAACTATAAACGTAACTGTAGATGGGTTGGACAAGTCCCTGCGGGGACATCCGATAAAATTAGAACGATACAGAGAAGATTAGCATGGCCCCTGCGCAAGGATGACACCCACAAATCGAGAAATGGTAGATGGGTCGGATAAAAATTAGAGATTTACAAACTAGAAACGTAACTATATATGGGCCGGACCTAAACTGGAAATTCACAAACCAAAAACATAACTAATGATGGGTCTGACCTAAATTGGAGATTTACGAACTAGAAATGTAACCATAGATGTAAAATGCAGGTTAAGCTTTACCATGGTAACGGTCTAGTTAGGAGGGGAAGGGATGATAAAAGGTAAAATCTAGTGAAGTTGGGATATTAAGCACAAAGCCCAAATGGTTCACTACTCTCTATCTTAATGTAACATGAACGAACAACTTTCAAAATTCAAAATCAACTGATTTAACACTTTTCTAAACTCGCATGTATAAATTTCAGGGATCTTTCAGCTCCTACTTTACAAACATAATAGTTAATGTAAAGAACCAAACTAACAATTTGTACCTGAAGAACCAAATGGAAAAATCAAAATAAATTACAAATATTAGTGACTATGTATGAACATGTAGTAAACCTCATATTAATTACTATCTTTGTTTCAAAATTATTGCTCAATTTGAGATTCTTTTTTAGCAGAATTTGAACTAAAAATTAAAATCCAAATTGAACAATAATCTCGTGACAGTGGGAGTACTGCTCAAAAATACTCCATCAGTCCAAGAGAGAGATATTTAAATTAATCTATTAATTTAATGAGTAAATTTGGTATTACGTAAAAATTACAGCCAAAAGGCCTCCTTAATTTGAGCCATCCGATTCCAGCTAGCTACTATGTACATTAGTTCCACATTGACGTGAAAATTACCAAACATAAAAGTAAATATAGTAAGGAAAATTAATCTCCTCCTATAAAATCAAAGTAAAAAATGCCAATTAGTAACACAAAAGTAAAGAGAGGCGGAAAGAACTTTCTAGGGGGGATATTAATAAAAGCAAAAAAAAAACCCAATCCCAAACTGATAAACAAAAGTTGTAGGCATAAAGTACTATATAAAGAGACCAATCTGAGACCAAAGTCTCACAGTTTTCTTTATCAATCTCCCGATTTTCCTCCGCGGCCAACCCCCAAAAAGAAAATCCCCTCTTTCTCATCGTCTAGGGTTCGGGTTTCCGTCTTTCCGGCAGCAGCAGCAGCAGGATGTCGACATCAACATCATCATCAAAGAAAATCGTGTTGAAGGGCTCCGACGGCGAGGCTTTCGAGGTGGAGGAGGCGGTGGCGCTGCAATCGCAAACTATCAAGCACATGATCGAAGACGATTGCGCCGATAATGGAATCCCTCTGCCCAACGTCACCAGCAAGACCCTGGCCAAGGTGATTGAGTACTGCAAGCGCCACGTCAGCGATGCCGAGAAGGCCGGCGGCGAGGATGGTGCGGCGGCGGCGGCGACTAACAAGAAGGCCGATGAGGATCTCAAGGCCTTCGACGCCGACTTCGTGAAAGTGGATCAGGCGACCCTGTTTGATCTAATCCTGGCGGCTAATTATTTGAACATCAAGGGTTTGCTCGACCTGACTTGTCAGACGGTGGCTGACATGATTAAGGATAAGACGCCGGAAGACGTCCGCAAGCTTTTCAACATCAAGAACGATTTTACGCCGGAGGAAGAAGATGCGATTCGCAAGGAGAATGCTTGGGCCTTTGAGCAGTAGTACTAGTGGTGGTGGTTATAATTTGGTTGTTTTGAATTTTCAATGTTTTTCTTTTGTTTTGCGGTTGTAATTTTAATTTTCTTGGACACACCCTTCATTAGCTCTTTAGCTATTCAGTGTGGTTCAAACTTTAGCTTGATTAATGTTTTTTTTTTTTTTGATTAAATCTTTGTATTCAATTTCTCTCTGGCCCCAACCCCTTGCTTTGATTCTGATTAATGGTCCTTGAAATTCCGCTAACAACAATAATATCTAGCGTTCGGTTGAATCCACTTAATGGAGTTTGATTGGCGAGTTTGCACCAAGGGTGATGTATATATAGCTATTAATGTTGAACTGATTAATCATTGTTTGTGTGTGTGTGTGTGTGTCAATCTGTGTTCATTGTTTGTGTGTGTGTGTGTGTGTGTGTGTGTGTGTCAATCTGTGTGTGATTCGAGGCTACTTTGCTAGCTCTGAGTTCTCTCATATTGTATGTATAAACTTCTGAATTTCATAGTGTTGTTTTGCATAATAAAGGTTGAAAGGGGGTGAAGATTCTTTGTTGCTTTTTCAAAGCCGTGCAAATTTGTTTTGCGGTTTTGGTAATAGTTTTTTCTGCACAACGTTTGTGTTACACAGACAAACAAAACAAGTAAAATGAGGCTCTGATGCAGGTGCGGCATTGTTGAAGGGTATCATTGTAATCTAAGCATCCCAAAACAATAATCGGGTTGGTTGACATGACACTCTTATTTGAAGACGGACTATAACAAGGTTCATGTATACATATAATCAGTAATATTGTCTTGGTCTCAACAGGTGCAGATTGTTACTATGGTTTCTTTACATTTTTTTTTTTGACTGTTAATGTTGAAGTAGGAGAACAATCAAATTGAACTAAACATATCTCAAATTAACATTATCCATCCACCGATGATGGGATTTCGTATAATAATATCATAGACTCATAGTATAACACATATCCAACACTGCTCATCAATCTCTTCAAAGTCTTGTGAAAAAGAGACTTGATATAGTTACATATATTTACCAATTTAATTGAACACGATGTTAGGATAATCAATATCTTTTGCGCTTTGGGGAAGGCCATTCAAATATCTATTAGAAAACAAAACTACCAAATTCAATTCAATGCCGTTGGAATAATATTAAATGGGATGCTATTAAATATTGAGTATTCTTTTTTCCAACTTTATTAGCAAACATTTAAAAACAACATTATTATCATTATATACTTGATGTAATGTGTCATTTTGAGTTCCGTCATATAAGCGTATCGTGTATTATCGAGTTATAGTGCTATAGATATAACTATAAATTTTCATAGTCAATGATGATCAAGTGATTTTTGAGTCTTTTTCTATTAATAAATCTTTAGTACGTACTAGTACTAATTCTTGTAGATAAAGATTGGGAATGGGGTTGACCATGGGGAAAATAAAAAACAAAGTTGCAAACCACCAATTGAATTAATTTGATCGTTTGCAACCGTTTCACAAATTTTCCTCTCTGCAAAATTTTGAAACCGACACGTTCCCTTCGGAAATAAATTCTTTCATCAGAGGTGGAAAGGATGATGGACTTGCTGGTATAGAAAGAGGAGATAACTAATAAGGACGGGGGAATGAGTCAAGAATATAGGTACTCCTCCATCCTTGTATGATAGTTATGTGTTTGTTTCACGAGGATTATATAAAACAATTGATATGAATTCATCTAAACTGTCTATTTATATCAACCTAGTTTATTGATTATTTGAGAATTGTAATTCATGTTTATTAACTTCACTCTACACAATTGTTAATTAGGTGGGCCGATTTGTTCATTGATCTAGGGTTTGCTCCATAAAAATTTGTGCGGTTACTATAGTAGCTACTTCTTTTATGTTTAAAAATTTTGAGTTTGATCGAACATATTTCATTTTATTAGTACATTATGTTGTTATTGCTTGGTGTGGGTCGGTTAAGGTTATAGATAAGAAACCAAAAATCTAAAATATTTTTGTTTAGATAAAAGTAAATATAAATATATATAGTAGATACAATTAAGTACGAACTAAACCAGTTACGAATTGTGTCTTTGTTATGTCTTTATTGCTTGGTGTGCGTGGGTTAAAGTAATGGATAAGAAATCATAAAACGTAAAGGATGTTATTGGGCACTTATAGAGAGATTATACGAAGTATCAACAAACTTCTGAGTAGGAATTGGTTTATGAAATTTCAATACCATCTTTTGTATTGTACCAAAGAAATAAATAAATAAGGGTTAGATTTTTTTTTGTAATGCTTGATCTTAATTATGTGGTTAGAATACAACTTGATCGGAAGTTCTCATTCACAAAATATAATAATTTATTTTTTGTAGGTTCTGGCCTCCTTCATAGTACCAAAAAAAAAAGGAAAATATTTTATTTAGATAAATATTTTATTTTATAAATAAAGAGTTTCTCTAATCATGTTTATACATAGATAGACACAATTAAATATGAACTAAACCAGTTAAGAATTGTGCCTTATTATCTTCTAAATGCTTCACTCCCTCATCTTAGTGTAGATCAAAGCGTACAGCTTGAGCCAACTTTTAGATCAACTCTCCCACGACGACTTCTTCATGAACACCATAACCATGCACGGAATAAAGGTAATCACTTGTGCCTGAAAAAAACCAAAAATGACACATCTTACATATTATCGACTATAAATACATGAACAAACATATGTGGTAGAACCGAAAGTAAGAAAGACACCAACCTTCAATGCAGCAATTGCAGTGTTAGAAAATTGTAATCCAATTTTCTTAAGTTGTTCATCATCGATGGACCAAGAGGACCCGACTTTTGTACCCCATTTTCCCACAGATGAGGTTGCTTGTTGCCAAAAAAGTCTAGCAACCTGAAAAAACAGATAACATCATGGTAATTAATTATCACACATTCCACTAGAAAAAAAAGAAAAGAAAAGGCAATGCAGGTTTTTAAAAGAAAATGGAATTTCGCTTTTTGGCTAGCGATCGGAAAAAAAACGTGCATAATAAGAAGTGTATTACCTTAAGTCCGGAGTAAATTTGTAGGGCTAGCATAACCGAACAAAAAAAAAAATACCGTGTATTCAAACCCCCTGAAAAAAACATTCAATAAAAATCAGAAATCTTACAATATACTACTCCTCCTGTCCCGAAACTCGAATGTGAACTTTTCTTTTTCTTTTTTTTTTTTTTTTTTTTTTTGGGACAGAGGTAGAATCACAATGGAATGCCCTCTGGATCAGTTGTTCAAACGTACATTTCAGAGAACTGATTATATGCTCACAGACTTTACAGTGTTGTAGAGAAGCTCTTGGGGTAATAATGGTGGCCAAACGAGACGGACCAGAAGAGCTCCGCAAATACACCCGATCCTTGTCAAGGTAATAACTAGTAGCATTTGCTGAAATTTCAGGGAACTAATCATTTATCCAAAATCCATAGAGGATAATAACACAAACATCACGACAACACGAATTTTCTCCATGTTAACAATGATACACTATCTCTGCCTCAAAAAAATAGTCAGCATTATATTTTAGAATTTACCCTAAAAATAATAGAAATCACAAAACTCTGATATGTACTTTTTTTTTTTGATAGAGGGATTAATTAACAGGATTGGAGTAAAACGTACCACCGGGAAAGGAAGCTGCTTGCCGAAGTGGCAAGCACGTGGCGAAAAGGTTGGTGGAAACCCTCTTACCACGGCGTCTGGTGAGAGGAGGAAGAGCAGCGGCCGGAGAGAGGTTGAGGCGACTTGAACTACTGCCTGCATAGCCGTCCTTCCGTAGGTTGGTACGTAGAGGCGGCGAAATTAATTTTATTGCAAGATTTGTTGAGGAGAAGAAGAGTAGTCCGAGGTTTTTATAATTGTGTATGACGATATCATTGAACTACATTATTAGTATATAATATATTATTTACACCAAAGTTAATTGGAAGTTGGTTGACATTGAACTAACCCTAAATTCGTTGGAGTAGTACTATAAAACTAGACTTTCTCGATCGTTGAACTTGGAGTACAACTTGGCCGAGTTCCTCTGATATATTACATATATCCATAATTAAAAAGTTCAAAAAGTGGCTGAAATTCTCAAAAAAATATCTCGGCACAATAAAGAATGTTGCATAAATCATAGAAGTCTTAAATCACAAATCGACACTGAAGTGAATAATTATAAGAGAAAGAAAAAAAAAAGAAAAGAAAAACTCCCAAAATCCAAATGGTTCAAATAAACTCTTTGTTTTTTGTTTTTGATTTTTTAATTCTTGGGCTATCTTTTAATGTACATGAAATATTGCATGATTGAAAACGTAAAAGATGAATCAACCTTCAAATCAACTTGGGATGCACAGAGATGTATTTACATGAACTTAAGCCAAACCTCAGAATATCAGGTGAACTAACTAACTAGCTAGTCTTCTGCAGCTTGGGCGCGCGGCGTATCAGCGTATCAGCTCCTTCAACTTCTCCAATTGAGAGATGCAAACCGCCGAATGTTAGGGTATATAGGTGTATGTGTAAGGGTATATTAGACATTATGTTGTAATTCGGGTTTCACTATAAACCCTAAACTGTGTATGTATGTATATCCTCGTTTGAGAGGCATACTGAAATCAAGAAATGTTGGTTGTGCCGTCATCTTTTCTTCACCTGGTATCAAGCTGTTAAACAAATACAGCCACCACCGTTTTTTCATTCTCTTTTCTTGTTTGATCCAGTTGTTTTTCCGCCGTCTTTGCTCTATGGCGAACGGTGAAGACACCAGCAGTCTCATCATCACTCAAGTCACCTTGAAGCAGGATAACTACGATGAATGGAACTGCGGTCTTCGAACGGCTCTTCGTGCTCGGAAGAAATTTAGTTTTGTCGACGGCTCTTTTCCAAAGCAGCCGGAGGGATCAACCGACTATGATGATTGGTGGACGAATTCCATGGATCCATCCGTTTGGTCTATGATTCCTCATCGTGAACTGGTCTCCCTTCTCTGGACTGATCTCCGGGAGCGGTTTGGGGCGGTCAATGGCCCTAGAATCCAGCAGTTGAAGACGGATTTGGCCAACTGTAAACAGAAAGGCCTGGGTATGTCGGCGTATTATGGCCGGGTGCAGCTTCTTTGGGAGGAACTTGCCAATTATGAACCACTGCAGACATGTTCTTG